AAAGTTTTTTTATAAAAAAAAAATTAATAAATTGAAGTTTTAAGGGTATATATATATTTGTTAGGATATGTTGTTTATATGTTTAAAATTTCACGTGAATTTGCTTTTGTTTTGAAAAAATTATTTATATTTATGTCACGTAAATAAAATTCCAAAAAGTTTTGCAACACACTGTATATTATACTAAGAATTATAAAGCTTGTAATTGCAAATTTAAAATTATAATAAAAATAAAACATAATAGCTGCTTGTTTTTTCAAAAAAAAAACAATCATTCAAATTTGTAACATTCTGTAATATTACATGTATCACATAATATGTTCCAATTTGATCAATAAATTCTATACAATAAAATCTCTATAAATTAATACTCTATAAATTAATAATATATTAATCATCTCTCTGAATTTATGATTTCTTTTATGTCACTATATTATAATCAGGGTTGGCATATTTATGCTCCATTGATAATTGTCACATTCTTTTTATTATATTTTTTTACTATGGGATGTAATAAATAATATAATAAAAAGAATGTAACAATTACCAATGGAGCACAATTTTGCCAACACTGATTATAATAATAATCTTAATTTTATAAAATTTTTTAAAAAAAACACTGGTTCTAAAATTAATTTATAGAGATTCTACTGTATATTGTTTACCAACCATTTGTTATTTAATGCAATGTAATCAATGTAATATTTTTGCAAATATGAAAATTTTTAATATTGATTAAGCATTCCTAAAAGTGATGGTGCGTTAGTGTTTATCAAATAAAGGCTATCGGGATAGAATTTCATGAAGAATTCCCATTTTCAGCTGAGCTTTCATAGACACGGTACACGGGAAAGCATGAAATCCATTGTCTCCTCGTTCCTTCCTATCAATATCCCATCGTCATCACACGATTTGTTTAACTCAAAAGTATTGAGGTATCATTCTTTGGTCATAAATAAAGGGACTCATTATTTCTATTTTTGTCCAAGAAATCTGTGGTGTTCACTCATTCATCTATTAAATTTTTTTGTTAAATTGTTTACATTGAAAAACAGTTCGGAAAGCTTTTTTTTTTTTGGTATACCTTTCAGATGCTGTTAAAACCTGTGTGAAAATTTTAAATGTTGCAAATATTTTTTTTGTATAGGTTGTTATTGTAAAGAAAAAAAATTTTTTTTTTTGAATTGTCTACTGACGGTTGGTTCGCCTCTACCATTGTATTGCAATTTGCTAAATTAATTCTAGCTTTCTAAATTTCTGAAGACATTCGTGTAAATAAAAAAAAGAAAATAATGAGTGTTAATTGGGTGAAATGTCGTATGTAAGATGGTTGTGGGTGATCGAATTTTGGAAAGTTTTTTAGGCAGAATACGTTTCTGCTAAAAAAAAAAAAGTCATCCGTAAATTTCCTAACCAAACAAAGTCAATGCCACCTCTTCCATTGCACACGTGGGAACATAATCATACCTCTAAGTGCACAAGTTTCACCGAGAGAGCGAACAGACTTGTTCTACTAGTTTTTTTTTGATGAACTGTGACCGAACGCGTGCTCTCGAAGTGATCTCAAATTTAGCACTTATCACCATCGTCCCATTCTTGCTAAGAACTACTTTGAATTTCCATGCTGTCATCTACCTCCAACACCACATCGTTTACATTACCGCTATTACCCGGTTGTGCACTCGTATTAGAAGATATCTTCGGTTGTCGTGATTGTCTGCGTGGTGTCAGATCGAATTGACCGGAGCTCGTATTTCGGGTTGATGTTCCCGAATTGTTTCTCAAGGCCAATGCTCCTCCCGCTCCAACCGATGCCGAAAATAAGCTTGGCAGCATTGCTGCTACCGTACTACCCTGTGTTGTTTTGTTGTTCCTGTCGCCAAAATGTGCCCTCACTCTTCCACCCCTTATCGCTTGGAAAACCTTTAGTTGATTTTGAATTTTCGTGACCGCATCATCCCATACTTCTTTTTCTTGTTGTTGCCTATTGGAATATATGGATTTAAAGATTTTATTGGGTATCAGGCGAATCAATGCACCCACGGGTATGGATAAGAATCCCAGGCCGACGCATATTGCCCATTGCACCACGCTTAGTTTTTGGGTTTGAAACGCTGCACCTCCAAATGTTACTATTATGAATTGCCCAGCTATCATGATTAAAAAGATTATTAGAAAGAATGTATTGGCCGTGATTCCTTTCAGTATGTTTAGGCGATTATCCAGACGTCGGCAACTATGAATTTGCACATTATAATTGAGAAGTTAGAACTGAAATTTGTAGGAAAATAAAGAATGACGCGTTTGACTCACTCACTTGATTTCATTAAATATCTGCAGGAAAACAAATATGTTGAAAATTAGGGTATTTAGTCCGGATTTTTCGGCGTCCGTTTCGTAACCTAGAATATCATTTCCGCCATACAAAAATACCAAGACTATTGTCAGCTGAAATATACTCTGACCAATTATCATCTTCCACATGTCAAGAGAGATCAGCGGTGAATTCCTGGGTTCGGGAAGGCGATCCAATAGATCTGGTGTCGGCGGGTCCGTGGCCAGTGCCAATGCTGCGAATGTGTCCATAATCAAATTTATCCATAATAATTGCACGGCCGTAAATATTGATTCCTCTTTGTCACTAGATATGGCCGAAATGAAGGTGAGTAGTACGGCGGTGATGTTGACCGTCAGTTGGAATTGTAAAAACTTCTTGACAGCGTCGTTCACGCTACGACCCCACATGATCGCTTTCACTATACTCGAAAAATTATCGTCCATCAGAATAATGGAAGATGCTTCCTTCGCAACCTCTGTTCCGGCAATACCCATGGAAAATCCCACGTCGGCTGTTTTCAATGCCGGGCCGTCATTAGTTCCATCACCTGTCACCGCGACAATATCATCTAACTCTCGAAGTTTTCCAACCAGAATTCTTTTATCCTCCGGGCTAGACCTTGCCAGAACCTGTAGATGAGGTACCACGTTCATCATCTTTTCCGGCGACAGATTACGGAACTCTGGACCTTCCATGACGATGCCACCATTGTAAATTCCACATTTTGTGGCAATCGACTTTGCGGTCAAAATGTTGTCACCGGTGACCATGCGAACTTTCACGCCGGCTTTATGGCAATCTTGTACAGCCTCGCGCACCCCCTCCCTCAGTGGATCCTCTATACCCATTATACTCAATAATGTAATGTCCTCGGTCAATTTTTCAAAGGAAATCTCATCGTCATTCATGCCGAATGGTGGCCATTCTTTAAAGTCACGATATCCCAACGCAATCGTCCTCAGACTCTCCAGTGCATACTGCTCTATTCTTTCCCGAATTGCCTTCTTATTCTCTTGGTTGAGATTGATTACACCATCGTCATCAGTGTTTATAATATACTCCGACTTATTCAACAAAACCTCGCTTGCACCTTTCACAAAGAATCTCCAATTCTCTCCACCCTCACGCACAACGACACCCATCGCCTTATGTTCGGAGCTAAATGGGAACATCTGCACGATATTGGCATTCTCACGCAATTCTTTGTAATCCCTGAGTTTCAGATCAAAAATAAATTCCAACAATGCAGTTTCCGTTTTCGAGCCGACGAAAGTGGGTCGACCGTTCACCGGTTCTCCTTCGAAAGCTGTGGAATTTATGGAAATTGACTCATCCAGCAATCTTAGGATGGCATCCGAGATGGTCTTCTTCTGAAAAACTATATTATTTCCACCCTGATGTGATTCAGTTGTGGCTTGTTCCCCGTAATCTCTCACAAATGAAGCGTCCAATCCTATCGTTCCAACCACCACGGTCATCTTGTTCTGTGTGAGGGTTCCAGTTTTGTCTGAGCAAATGGTCGTCGCGTTGCCCATGGTTTCACAAGCTGATAGCACACGTACGAGATTATTATCCTTTAACATACGCGTCGTTGCATATGCAAGGGCAAGTGTTACGGCCAACGGTAATCCCTCTGGAACAGCAACCACCACCACCGTGATAGTCGAGATCAGAATCTGTATTAGGCTATCAAATACCGTGGTAGTCTCTGGTATGCCGTTACGAAAACCGATAAAATATTTAACCAATAAAATGATGAGCATAAGTAAGGCCGCACCACCACCTAATTTTGCTATCCTTTCTGCGAGGTCGTTTAACTTCACCTGTAACGGGGTATCTTCGGGATCAGACCGCAAAGCTGTGAAGAGATGCGTACGAGGTTCACCATAAGGCACAAAAACTCAAGAAAACGAACATTGACAGTTAAGGTAATTGTTGCGACACACTTACACATCATTATCTTTCCGTGAAACGAGTTTACACCTACGGCAGTCACGACGTAGGTACCCAGACCTTCTAACACCCTACTTCCACTTATTATAAAAGGATCGGGCTTTGAATCATGCAATTCGGATGGACCACTTTCCACATCCAACAGCTCTATGCAATCTTCATACTTCATCTTTCGCACAGCATCACTTTCACCTGTGGAAGTTGACTCATCGCATTTCAGATTGTATCCGGACACTAGCACGCCATCCGCAGAAGCGATGTCACCAGGCTCCAATCGTAGGATGTCGCCAACCATTATATCATGTACCGAAATAAGAGTCTCCTTGGAATCTCTGATTACTTTAACTTGGCGGTCTTCTTTTTTCGAATTCAACTTTTGAAACTGAAGCTCCTTCTGCCAATCGTTCAAGCTTCCCACCATCACCACGATAACAATCGCGATTATGATGGCCACGCCTTCGACCCATCGAATCTTTGGCTGCGCCACACCATCCACCACTTTCTGTTCAGTACCAAAATCTTCGTACAAACCTAAACCCAGTGAGATGACAGCAGCTATTGTCAAGAGTATTAAAATCTTTTCTTGGATTGCCATCCACATAAGCTTCAATATGGACTTAGGTTTCCTCGTCGGCAATACGTTTCTCCCAAAAACGCATATCCTTTGATAAAATTGGGTACCCTCTTTCAGAATTTCGGGAGGGACCTTCGGGGATGGGGTATTCTTTGAATTTTTTTCTTTTGCATTTGAACCATGATCCGGTGTTGACGGTTTCCCGAATTCGATGTGATCCTGATCCGTTATGTCTTTTAATGTTATATTTGACTGAAGAATCACTTCATCACTGCTTAGACCGGTTTTGTGGTCCGTTTGCAAACCTTTTAGAAGCCCATCTAGACCTCCGATACTCCTCAGAAGGTTTAAATTTTTTGGATCTAATAAACATTCTAAATCTTCTCTTTCGAAAGCGAATGGATTAGTTATGTGAGTAGACTGCAATGAAAGAGTCCTACGTCTTTTCTGTCGATGATATTGTTCATCTAACGACGTAGAACTCATTTTCTTGGTAGTTGTGGAGGAGGAGGATAGAGAATAAAGGGTATTATCGAGCGAAGTGTTACTCAATGTTGACAAGGTATTTAGCTTGGTATCTGTCGTCTTATTTTGAACCGAGAGAAAAACTTTATCGTTATCGCGATTCGTTAAGCTATTTTCAAGGTCTAAGGTTGAGGAGGAGTTTTGAGGTAGAGTTGTGCCTGAAGAGAGCATTTTTTTTTTTGTTTTCGGGTCAAAAAAATAAATAAAAAAAAATAAATAATGAAAACAAAAACAAAATATTAGAGAGCGTCTATGACAGATTCTTGGAGAAAAAGATTAAAGAGTATACCGTGTTGTGAAACTAAAATAACACCGTAAATAGATAATTGAAAGAAAGAAAGAAAGCAATGGACAAAATCCAAGAAAAAGAGAGGGTTAATTAATTACTGGTTGCATGTTTTTGAAACATTGTACTAAGTTAATAATAATACTTACTGTAACAGTCCAATCAAGACAGGGAAAAAAAAAAGGAGAAAATAGTGTGGTTGGTTTTTATGATATTTTTTATAGTGGCGCCTATCATTATACTGTAGAACAGCCATATATAACCTGTATCTTCGTGTGATATTTATATTACCACGTTATTCTTTCTTCAATTATTTGAGTGCACAAAACGCGACATTTTTCCATGTGCTGTTCTATGCAGAAAAGTAGTTTCACAGAACTTTCTGTTACAAAATTGGGCAACTAATAAAAAAGCAGCATCATTTGTAATTAGTTTAAATGAATAATTGGTTAGGACCCGGGATACAAAAAACTACTAAGACCACTGAAAAGTCTGGTAAAATCAAAAATCTAAAAGATCTAAAATAGAATAAAATAGAATAAAATGAAAGTTTTTTTTTTGAAAAAAGGCACCTGTGCATTGTCCTCTGTTTTAGACGACCGATGTTAAACAATGGTATGTTGCACAACTGACAAAGGAAATTTTCCAAAAAAAATTGATAAATTCAGGATATTCAGGATACAACTTGAAAAAAGAATCCATTATCATGTGACCACGTGGAGAGTTGCAAGGACAATAATTATTATTCTGATTTCCGAAAAAAAAAAAAAAGAGAATATAAATAATTATGCATTCCTATTAATCTATTAATCCGTTGCACCAATTCAATCGTCTATTTCCGGACTCATTGAAACACACACCGACACATGATCGATAAATTTTAAATCCTTTAGCGATCGTAAGGAACTTTTTTTTTTGCGGTCGTACTACTTTTCTGTCCCCGAGTAACACGACTAATCACACTAATCACGATAATTGATGATATAATAATAAAGTAACAATAATAAAGAAAGTGCGCTTAAAAGGTTAGAATCACTAAGATCGTGTAATACAAAAAAGGGTTTTTTAATACGCATATGTATGCATTATGAAATTAGTAGACACATTCCCAATAATATTTTACCGCGTTACCAATTCTGGGACAATACAGATATTTTCGGAAATTCGATGATAACAAGAATAGCGAAATTCCAGAGACGAGTTCCATTGCCCACCCGGGTTAGAGAAGATCATCTTTGTAACGAGATAAGATTCATTCAAACAAAGGCAATCAAGTAAAGATCAGATGCCACTAACATCCATTGACGTAACTTTTGGTGAAAGATTCATTGTGGGGTGAAAAGCAAGGTGATATCATTTTATCATTTTCGAACGTAGTTACGTCAATATTCGAAGTTTCCATTGTTCGCACAATATCCTTCATCAAAACTTATTGTAATGTCTACGTAATTCTCGGCGAAATTTGGATGGAAATTTCTCTTGTAAAGAAAGATCGAGCGAATTTTCTTTTCTAGAAATGTTAATCCTCATTTGGGAAATCATAATTCATGTTTACCAATGTTTACCACATGGTATATAACCCAATTCTTATCTCGGAAATGTCCGCGAATTAATCTCACGCTAACCATCTATATAATCACAGGGAAATTTTGTTTTTTTGGGCTCCGCCAAAATTGGTAAATTTTTCAATATTTAACCGAAGGTCACATGAGAACATTCTCGATAAAGAATTTATTATATCATTTCAGTGTGAATTTTCTTTGATGAATTTCAATCTATGATAACATCATGAATGTATACCACAGTATATCACAATAAACATTCGCTAATGATGGTTAGTGTACATCCTCTGATTACATATAGAAGACGAAATTTATTTATTTGATTGAATGTACTGTATATTTATTTGCCTTCTTCGCCCGATCCGCCTTTTGGCTTTTTCCTCAGCCTTCAAACACAAGCGAACGTTCAGTAGCTTTAGCTTACAAACATCTCAGCCTTTTTTGGCATAGCCTATTTTGTGTTTGATTGTATGTGTATACGCGAAAATTCACACGCCATTACATATGGCTGACGTCAATTTTGCGATACCATGAATTTCTCGTCTCTAATCTAACGTGACGCTAAGCCATCAACTACGATGTCGCAAAGCCGTAAGTGTCAACGCGTTTGCTGTCAACTCTATGTATAAGCCTTGGAGGCTCGATAGATCGCATGAAGAAGTGCTTAGTAATCGGGGCAACTTCCCTTCGATCAAGGTTAATTCACAATGAAAGAACGCAAAATTATTCCTTTGTCATGTGATTTTGAACTCGCATTAGCAATTCTGAACAAAATTGGTATTTTGACTACCTGATTGTTGTGCTACACTCATTATCATGATTTTCAACTATGGTTGCACCAACCGATGAATTTTTTCTACACATTTTAACCACATCACTTTCTCGGATAGTTCGCGATGGTACAGTATTAATTAATTATTCCTCAAATTTTTAATGAAAATTTTGAGAATGTTAACATCATCTATACACCTTGTTTTTCGGTTTATGTAACTTAGAACATTGAGAAAAAGGGAATCGGTGTAGTGGACATCGGAAGTAACGGAATTCGCTTTGGTCTAGTGTCGTCGCTACAAAGACATTTGCCTGTGGTATACGAGGAACGTGCTTCGATCTCTCTATTCGAAGCTCAGAATTCGTCAGGGTCGGGCTCCGAACGCATCCCAATTCCTGAGGACGTGATCGATGACGTGATTAACTGTTTACAAAGATTCAAATACATTTCTAGACAATATAATATTGATGATGTCAATGTCATCGCTACGGAGGCCACTCGTACTGCTCCCAACTCCGTGCACCTTCAGAATCGAATACTTGAGGCTACAGGATGGAATGTGGAATTGTTGTCTAAAGCCGATGAGGCACGTATTTCGGGATTAGGCATCGTTGCTACGTATCATGGAGTCGAAGGGTTAGTAATGGACATGGGTGGTGGCTCGGTGGAGATGAACTATATTATGCATCGCCCCAAAGAAAATGATGATATCAAGATGTCCGAATCTCCTATAAATCTTCCTTATGGTGCTGCCGCGTTGACAAATTTACTGGAAAAGGAAAACACTCCGCAAAAACGTTCAAAGTTATTTGAAAAAATAAAGTGTGAATTACGGGATTACTTTGGCAGACTGAATCCTCCAGAGGAGATCAAGGATGATGATGGATACAACGTTTACATGAGTGGTGGTGGGTTACGCTCATTGGGTTACTTGAGTATGTCCGAAACGGAATCTAAGATTAACAAGAAATCCTCAGGCAATGAAGCCGCGTATCCAATACCAATCATAAATGGTTATGGTACTCCGGCAAAAGAACTTGCAGAAATCATCAAACGTTTAGTACCTGTGCACGATCCATCGGCTACAGATAATTTTGTTAAAAATATATTTCCCGATGGTAAGCCATTTAGGATTAGCAAACGACGTGCTAAACTTCTTCCTGCCGCGTGTTTCCTGCTTGAGGCGGTGATGGAAGTTATCCCTTTGAAATATGTGTACTTTTGTGAGGGTGGTGTTCGCCAAGGAAAGTGCTTTGACTTGATGCCCAGAGTCGAACGTCAAAAGGACCCATTGGAGACTTTCATACTTTCTCATCCGTTTCATCCAAACAACCTTGACACTCAGCATCAACTGGCCATAATTAAAAACGGTATACCCTCGGTATTCTATGACGTTCTTGATCACGATGACTCGGTCAAGTATTCAATAAAAAGGCCTAATCGACTCGAACGTCTTTTACCGAGTCTTTTACGCCTTGCATATTGGTCAATGAATTTGGCCAAAGAATCTCGACCTATCTCTGCCTTTTATTTACCTCTGGCTGGTGGCCCGCTCTGTAATGCACCTGGCCTCACACATATCGATCGTGCAATTTTATCCTGGTGTTTGATGTGGCGATACCATGAAGATGCCAGTGGTTCCAAGGATGGTGGCGTCGAAAAGGACATCAGTAGAATGGATCCGATATTGTTTTATGATGTAAAGAAGATGATACCAGCTGGGAAAGATGGAAGGAAGGTGTGCGAGATTATTGGGAAACTTATAGGATTCGTAATTTTATGCCAGCCGGGTGATCCAATGCCGTTAGCGAACCGTGATGAAAATCTGTCTGGAAAAGCTGCCAACGAATATCCTTATGTATATAAATTGGCGGTAAAAGATGACGGTGGTGTTACCACCATGACGAAAAGAAAAACATGGAATATCGGGTTGACTGTATTGACAAAAAGTGGTGGAGAGATGGGTAACGGATTTTCATTTTTGACGAATAATTCAATAGTCAGAGATGCCGGTAAAAAACTGGTGAAGAGCTACGAACTTAAAAAGGAGAAACACGATGAATATCATCTAGGCGAAATAAATGTGCGAGTAAATTTTTCTGACTCAATTGAAGACATTATTTAACATATCAGTGATGATTATACCATTTTGGGGTTTTGACGAGATAATACCTTTATATCATTATATCGAAGATATTTCTCAAATTTCATTTATTGTCTAGCAAAATAAGCATGTCACAAAATAGTTCGAGATGATCCTTCAATGAAAAGACAATAAATTTTTATCGTTATTGACCCCTCAAATTAGAAAATCGAATAAAGTTGATAAAAGAACATACATTATTTTACGTATATATACGAATGTAAAATTAAATATACTGTATATACTGTATAAATAAATGCCTTGATAAAACAATTACTTATTTCAAATATACATGTATCTGTGTTTTCATCAACTCATTTCGAAATTTAAAAATACCTTTTATCCATTTTCCTATCTTGACAAATTATTTTAGATTCATTTACCTACCGTATTTACAAATATTCAACATAAAATACAGTACATGAGATATAATATGAAATTTTATGTTACATAGTAAAAACTCTTTTCTCTAATTCCTTTTGCTAACTTCAAAAAAACAAATGGCTCAAGGTAATTTTAATCTTTTCTTGTAATAAAATTTATCTATTTTCTTTAGTGTTGTTATTATCAAAAAACTTGTTTTTTTTTTCCTTTTATTGCATATTTTATGGAATATTTTATAAATATGGTTTTTGTATTTTGAGAAAAAAATACAATATTTGAAAATTCAATAAATTATATTAAATATGACATAGTAGCAATTAATGACTTTTTTTATTTATAATAATTTGATTTTACACATTTAACAAAATTACAATCACAATAATTAATTGTTATAAAGTTTGTCAAAATTATTTGACATTATAAATAAGCTCTTTAACTATAAATTATAATTATTTGATTAATAATAAATAAAATATCTTTCACTAAAATATTAATCATAATTCTATATTATTATTTTTTTTATTGGTATTTTTTAATCAATTTTATTTTCTTCAATTAAATAAATTCTTGATTTTATTTATATAAATTAATTTCTTTTGATATTTTATAGTATTATTAAATTTTGAAATATAATTAATAAGCAATTGTATATTTATTGTTATTATTTATTATTATTATTATTCAATAAATAATTTATTACAAATAATTTAAATATAATTATTTATAGTTAAAATATAAATTTTATAAATTTAATAAATTTAATAAATTATTTATTTTGTTAAAAAATTAATAAGTAACTTTTATCAAATAAATTATTTTTAATTAATATATTAATAAATTTGAAATTTGAAATTTTTTTTTAATTATTATTAAATTAACATATTTTGAAATTAAAATTGATTGAATAATTTTAATTTTTAATTAATTTGATTTAAATTTATTTAATTGTAATTGATTTAAAATATAAAATTTAAAATTTAAATTAATTTGAACTAAATCTATTTATATAATATATATATATATATATATATATATTTGTAGGTAAACATCATTTCTTTATTTTATTTGTATATAACAAGATATACATTGTAAAAAAAAGAATATCTCTTATATATTGATACAATGAGTTAAATACTAACTTGTCTATAGTAATTATATGATTAATATTGAAAAGAAAGTTTAAAACAATATATTTTGTCATATGGCACCAAACAGTTATAAATATCTACTTAGTATTAAGAGAAATAATGTTTGGAAAAGATGATATTAATTTCTGAATGCATTTGTTATAGTTATAATTACATTGAATAAAAGAGTTAGTAACAGTTATTGATAGATTTATAATGATTTCATTTTGTATATTATTGAAGTGTGAGCTTTTGATAAAGGCAGTATAATTTCTTTTTGATTTGGTTAGGTTGATGATGTTCAGTTCATTTAGTTTCCATTTAATACCAATAAGAGGTAAGTGTTGATGATGTTATATTATAGTTTTCAGATTGAGTTATATAATTGGATTAGAGATTCTGTTGACACCTTAATCCAGTTAGTAATATCTGTTATAAAGAAGATTCTATTAATTATGTTATATAACAGTTCTATAACTTGTCATATATGAGAAATTGATTTGAAATTATTATTCAGATAAAAAATTTGGTTGATGTTGTTTATGATTTGGTTGATCTCTTTTAAGGCTTTAAGACATTTAAAGATATGTTGAATGTCTTTAGTATGAAGTTTGCATTTTGGACAATACCTATTTGGGTATTAATCAGGATAATATTGGTAAAGTATTTGATAAGTTGGAAGTATTTCTAAAAGGAGTTTAATTTTGAATGCTATTAAGTTGCTATAGCTATTGTTGTGTACCTTTTTAATATTTTTATTGGACTGATTAATGATTTTTAAACCATACAAGGTGTGACACTGTTCAAAGATTTGGAGAACTGAGAAGCTTTCACAAATCATATAATTTCTGATGATACTGAAGATTTTTTTATATCATTTAATACTACTACCTAGGCATGTGTTGTTAATTAAAAGATTCTCTGAAAAGTGTAATAAATAGTTGCTCCATTGGATTGTTTTGTTTATAAATGGTTTGAACTTTGGTTTGATATATAAAACTTTTATTGATTTCTGTTTTATGATTTGATTTATTTTCTGAATTAAAGAAGAAATGTTAATTTTGATCATTCTTCTCAGATGAATTGATACTAGTTGAAGGATTTTTTTGTTATTTTTGATTTCAATAGTATTGTATTGAAAGCTCCACTGAATAATATCAAGTATTATTAGTAGGATATTGCCAGGAGCTAAACAGGTACTAGCAAGTTATATCTTGTACTCATTGATAACTAAGTAACTTTTATGAGACAGGATATAGTAGTGTTGATAATATCCTATTTCTTGAAGTAATGCTTAGAGAAATAAGTTGTTGTTGATATTGATTGTTTAAAGAGTTTGTTCACTTTCAAGTGGAAAGTTGATGATTTTATCGATAATATTCAATAGTCAATATTTAATAGTACTGAATAGATTAAAGAATACCTATAAAGTTGATGCTGCTGAGCTTGTGAATATTATCTAGCAAAAGCTATAGGATTGTGCATTAACAGGATATCTTGGATATCTGAAAAGGTTATTAGTTAGATCTATTATAAAATACTTTTCCTTAAGCATCATTCTTTCTTGCACTAATAATTGTTTCTTGTAAATCTTAACTATTGTATTCAAGCCACATACAAACCAAAATATTGTTTTGAGATTTGATATTGAACCATATGATTCTATAAGGCTCTTATTATTTGTAAAGGTTTTGAATCAATTTGATTCTGGATCAAGATGAATTATTTCTGTATATAAGGCAAGTTGGTACCATGTGGTTTGATAGTACTATTAAACTTTAGTAGTTGATTAGCAAATTTCAGATTGAGTACATTTGTTGTGTTTATTGCTATTTTTTTGAATTGAAATTGTAGGTCTGTAAATATAAGACCAATTGAATTCTTTACATTGTCCCAGTGGAATGTACACTCTATTGGGCATATATAAATCTTGAAATCCTTGACTACTCTTGTTATATAAAGGATCCAATTGTCTTGACTGAATCTCTCTAGGTCATATATAGGGCAAAACTATATTGCTTCTTTAGTTTGAATAGATTGAATATCTTGTATAGTATATTTCCTGATGGATGAGATGACAAGTTTGAATACAAGATTTCTTATTAATATAGTTTTTTGTCTTTCTTCTAGTACTAATAGGTTGAGACCACTTTAACTAATTAATATTATGTTGAAATATTTGGAAGAAATTCTATAAGCTAATTTTATAAATTTGTTGATTTTAGTTTGAAGTTGTTTAAGATTTGTTTGGTTGAGAAATGATAAGAGCAAAAAGTATTCAAGTTTCTTTATAATTATCCAGTTACTGATTTGTTGCTTGATTTTTCCATTCCAATTGCATTTGGATAGCTTATCAATGATTCGGATTGATGTTTGTATGAAGGCTTTTCTGTTTGTCCTAAAAAATTTCATGGAGGAAATTAGTATATCAAGATACTTTATGTTTTCATAAGGTTTAAGAATTTGGATTTGGTAGTTATCAAATTTGATTGTTTCCTGGATGTCATATTTAATTTTAATATTGTTAATGATTTTGATTTTGTCTTTGTTGCATGTGATATTATTAATTGCAAAGAACTGATTAGTTGTTACAAGAAGATCTTTCATTCTTTGCTTGAATTTAGTAATTAGTACTAGATCATACATATAGGCTAAGGTGTTGGAGGTGATATATTCTTGAACTGGACAGTACTAAGCTAATTTGATAATAAAAGGATTATAAAAAATAATCCAAGTAATGGATAATAGGATTTTGCCTTGTTCTACTCCATTATTAACAATAAATGATTCAGTAGGTCCAAAGAATATATTGAAAGAGATTTTTCTGTTGTTAAAGATATTTATAAGAAGGTTGATAATTTGACTTGGGCAGCAAATTCTTTCTAGTAACTTTTTTATTGCTAGTATGGATGCTGAGTTGAATACTTTTGTTATATCTAATGAAGCAAACCAAAATTCTTTGGTTTTGATATTAGTTGCTTGAAGAACTAAGCTGACAATTATTAATAGTTCTATAGTGCTTTGACCTAGAAGACCAGTGTAGTTGTATTCAAATAAAATATTATTTTCTTTGATTATTTTAATTAATCTCTTGTTGATTATACCTGTAAATAGTTTTCTTGTGGAATTAATAAGAAAGATAGGTCTGATGTCATTTAATTTATAACTCCAAATTAGTTTTTTTGAAATAAAAGTAACAATGGTTTGTTTTTACTGTTTGGGTATATTGGCAGATTATAGGATATTATTAAAGATAGATATCATATAAACAATTGTTTTTTCCTCATAAGCTTAATAATATTATAGCTAATTGCTGATTTTCTTGAAACTTTATATTTAAAAAGATTGCAAATGGCTTCTTTGATAATAGGAGGTTCAAGAAGGTTTTTTAGCTTTCTATAAATTTCTTGATTTATTGTTTTTAGTAAATAAATTTCTTTTCAATTTGGGTAATTACTAAGGTTGAAGTTT